AGGAACAAGATGAGAATGCAATGTTCACCACTTCCATTCAACATAGTATTGGAAGTTCAGATCAACTATGCAAGAAAAATAAAGTAAAAGTACCTCTCTTCATAGATGACATGATCTCATATGTAAAAACCCTAAAAATACAGTAACACCACCAGAGTGCGTCTCTTAGAGCTAATAAGTGAATTCAACAAAGTTTCAAGATACAGAATCAATAGAAATCAGTTACATATCTATAAATGAATTATGAACAATCTGAAAAGGAAATTAAGAAAGTTATTCCACTTACAATAGCACCAAAAAATACTTATAAAAATACTTACAAACTTAACCAAGGAGGGAAAATGTATACACTGAAAACTACAAAACATTACTAACAGAAATTAAAGAAGACTAAAGAAAACAAAAACAAAAACAAAAAAAAACCATGAAGATATCCTGGGTTCATGGATTAGAAAACTTACTGTTAGTACTGCTCAAATTGATCTAGAGATTCAAAATTCCAATGCCTTCTTTGCAGAAATTAGAAAATCCATCCAAAAATTCAAATGGAATGTCAAGAGATCTTGAATAGCCAATAAAACATCTTAAAAAAGAACCAAGTTGGAGACTTTACACTCCTCCTATCAAAACTTACTATAAAGCTACAGTAATCAAACTGATGTAGTTCTGGCACATAGACAAATGCAGTAGGATAGAGAGCCCAGAAATAAACGTTTATACATATAATCAGATTAAGTGTGCCAAGATCATTCAATGAGGAAGTAACAGTCTTTTCAATAAATGGTGCTGGATAACCACATGCAGAGAATGAAGCTGGATCCTTATTTTAGCCATGTATGCAAATTAACTGAAAATGGATCAAATACTTAAATATAGGGGTCAAAAGTATAAACTTGGGAAAAATGTAGGGAAGAAGCTTCATATTATTGGATTGGCAATGATATTTTGGCTAGGACATTAAAAGTACAGTTAACAAAATAAAAATTACACAAAAGCTTTTCCTCATCAAAGGACACTGTCAACAGTGAAAAGCAAACCCAGAATGGAAGAAATTATTTGCAAACCATATATCTGATATAGTAATATCCAAAATCTAGAGAACTACAACTCAACAACAAAATGCAAAGCCTACACATTTTTCCAAAGATCTACATATAGACAATACACACATAAAAAGATGTTTGACATCACTAACAATTAGGGAAATGCAAATTAAAACCACAATGACATATCACTTCACATCTATTCGGATGGCTATTTTTTAAATAAAATTAAATAACAAGTGTTGGAGATGTGGAGAAATTGGAACCCTTGTGCACTGATGATGGGAATGTAAAATAGTATAGCTACTGTGGAAAAGAGTATGGCAGTTTATCAAAATATTGGACATAGAATTACCATAGGATCCAGCAATTCCACTTCTGGATATATACTCAAAACAACTGAAGGCAAGGACTTGAACAAATGTATGTACACTAATGTTCATAGTAGCATCATAATGGTCAAAAGGTGCAAACAGCTGACATGTCCACTGACAGATCGATGGATAAACAAAATGTAGTATATACTTGCAATGGAATATTATTCAGCCTTCCAAAGGAATGAAATTCTACACATGCTACAATATTGAATGAACCTTGAAAACATCAAATTAACTGAAGGAAGACAGGCACAAGGAAATTACAGGCCAATATGCCTGAATATAGATGCAAAAACTCTCAACAAAATTTTCACTAACCAAATTCAACAGTATATTAAAAGAATCATACCTCACGAGCAAATGGAATTTACCCAAGGGATGCAAAGATAATTCAATATCCACAAAATGATCAGTGCAATACACCACATTAACGAAATGAAGGACAAAAATCATACCTCAATCAATGCCTAAAAAGCATCTGACAAAATTCAGTATCCAATCATGATAAAAACTATAAAAGTAGGTATAGAAGGAATGTACCGGAGCATAGTAAAGGCCATAGATGACAAGTCCACAGCTAACATCATCCTCAATGGCAAAAAGCTGAAAGCCTTTCTTCTAAGATCAGAAACCATAAAGGATTCCCACTCTCTCCATCTTTACTTAACATAGTGTCAGAAGTCCTAGCTAGAACAATTAGATAAGAAATAAGTGTCCTAATAAAAAGGAAATAGAACTGTCATGGTTTGCAGGTGACATGCTATTATTATGTATAGAAAACCCTTAAAGACTCTAAAAAGAAACTGTTATAATAAATTCAGTAAGTTGCAGGATACAAAATCAGTGTGCAAAAACCAATACCAAACTCTCAGAAAAAGAAATGAAGAAAATCCCACATACAATTGTATCAAAATGAAAAATATACCTAAGAATAAATTTAACCAAGGAGGTGATGATAGAACTGTATACTGAAAACTAAGAAATATTTATGAAAGAAATTGAAGACACAAATGGAAATATAACCTGTGCTCATGGATTGGAAGAATCAATACTGATAAAACACCCATTTTGCCCAAAGCAATATATACAGATTAAATACAATCCCAATCAAAATTCCAATGGCATTTTTCACAAAAATAGAACAATCCTTAAATTTGTATGGAACAAAAAAATATATAGCCAAAGCAATCTTGAGAAAGAAGAACAAAGCTGGAGACCTCATGCCCCCTAATTTCAAACTATATTAAAAAGCTATAGTAATCAAAACCATATGGTAATGGCATAAAAACAGACATCGATCAAGAGAACAAAATAGAGACCCAGAATTAAACTCATGTGCTTGTGATCAATTAATTTACTACAAAAGAGCCAAGAATATACCATGAGGAAAGGACAGTCTCTTTAATAAATGAGATTGGGGAAACTAGACAGCCACATACAAAAGAATGAAAATTAACCACAATTTTACACCATATACAGAAACTAATTCAAAATGGTCTAGGGGCATCTGGGTGGCTCCATGGGTTAAGCATCTGACTCTTGATTTTGGCTCAGGTCACAATCTCAGAGTTCTGAGACAGACCCGCGTTGGGATCTCCGTGCCTGGGCATGGAGCCTGCTTAAGATTCACTCATTCATTCATTCATTCATTCATTCTCTCTCTCTCTCCCTCTCCCTTCCTCCTCCCCACTCTCTCCCCGACTTGTGCTCACATATGTGCTCTGTCTCAAAAAAAATAATGGACTAAAAACTTGAACATAAGACCTGAAACCATAAAAGTCTCATCATAAAACATAGGCAGCAAGGTCCTTTAACATAGATTTAAAAAAAAAGAACACTGGCAATACCTGACACCAAAAGCAAAGACTACAAAAGCAAAAATAGGTAGAACTACATCATACTAAAAAGCTTCTGCACAACAAAGGAAACCATCAATGAAATGAAAAAACAAGCTATGAAATGGGAAAAAGTATTTGCTTATCATACATCTAATAAGGGGCCACTGTCCAAAATATATAAAGAACTCATGCAGCTCAATAGCAAAAAACAAAAACAATCCAATTTTTAAGATGGGTAGAAGATCTGAATAGACATTTTTCCCAAGATGACATACAGACGGCCACAGGTACATGAAAATGTATCTTAGTATATGATCACTAATTATCAGGAAAATGCCAATCAAAACCACAATGCGATATTACCTCTCACCTTTCAATATGGCTATTATCAAAAAGATAACCATTTTTGGCAAGGATATGGAGAAAAGAGAACCCTTGTGTACTGTTGGTGGAAATATGAATTTGTGCGGCCATATGGAAAACAGTTGGGATGCTCCTCAAAAAATTGAAAATAGAACCACCATATGATAAACCAGCAACTCCACTTCTGGGTAGAATTTATCCAAAGAAAGTGAAAACATTAACTCAAAAAGACATATGTACCTCCATATTCATGCCATTATTTATAATAAATAAGATATACAAACAATCTAAGGGGCTATCAATGGTGAGTGGATAAAGAAATTGTGATAGATTGATTGATTGATAGGTAGGTATAATGGAATATTATTTAGCCATTAAAAAGAAGGAAATCTTGCCATTTGTGACAAAATGAATGGACCTTAAGAGCATTATGCTAAACAAAAAACAAATACCCTGTGATCTCTCATGTATGTGGAATCTAATACAAATGTGTGCACATATGCGTGCATGCACACACACACACACACACACACACACACACACACACACAGAATAGATTGGTAGTAGTTGCCAGAGGCAGGAACATAGAAGGTGAGAGAAATGGGTGAAGGGGGTCAAAAAGAAAAAAAAAAATTTTAAGAGTTTTACTTATAGTTTTGAAGGTTAACATAATGTCTCCCCTGTAGATATTTGGAGTCCAAAGATGCTTTTTTCCTAAAGTGACCTCCAAGAGATGTCTATCCCCTTACTTTACTGAAATAGAAAATTTTGGCTAAGGGCCTGCTGCTTTGGTATGGGGTGATAGTCTGGCTCTGTAAACTCTAGGAAAAGTTTAACAACCTCTATGAGCACATAGCAGAATGGGCAGATACTAACTATACCTACCTAAGTCTACTCCTGTTCATCTGCACTGGGTTTGGCCTGGAAAAAAATGAAGCCAAAGAAAGGAAAGAAATGATGGACTGGTTAACTTGGATGAATTTAGCAAGAAAACAACAAACCAAATTACCCTTCGGATTGAAGGGATGCTTAAAAGTCTGCTCTAAAACTTACCACACCACACTCTTAGTATTTTATGCCAAGAAACCTTTTATATGGTTCATCTGGGAGGGAGCTGACATTCTCCAACTGGCTCTACACTACCATTAGCCATTTGCTAACAGAATGCTTTTATAGACTACAGGAAAGCTAACTATTCTACTATAGCACAAAGAAAATATGCCAATGTTCTTTAGTTGATATACAAAGGAGGGCAAGACAAATGATCCGAAGGCCCCAAACAGAACACTGCAGAAGGATTCTGTGTTTCATGCAGCCTGAGCATTGCAGCCTCTCCCCTGACTCAGCTAACACTATACATGTCACCTTCTGCTTCCCAGTGCAATGGGCCTTGCATCGGGCCTCACCTAGCCGTGCAACACAGACAAGTGTTCTGCCAGACACGAGATGGCATCACCTTACCATCAGAGCAGTGCAGTGCCCTTCCCAGGTAAGAGAAAGCCGTGGACCTCCTTTCCCCAACCCCTGCGTCAGTAGCATGGAAAGACAGTGTTAAGTGACTGTTTCTCCTCTAACATCCCACAGTCTCCCTTTCCGTTTCACCTCCACTCTCCCCAGGCTGTTGTTCTCAGAGATAGATGGCTCAGTGGCGGCCTTGAACTTACTGAATGTGCCAGGGTGGGCTTTCCTCTTGCAGACAAAGAGTGCAGAAAGTGCTATTCCTTCAAGGGTGGCCTGATACCGCGTGAGATCTGCACTAGCCCTAGGGTGCACAGGAAGTGAGGGCTAGGAGGTGACCGCCAGACCTCAAGGGCTCCAGCAGCCCCTCACTCTCATTGGCCATTCTTATAAAAGTCAAGCCAGAATGAGGGCCCTTATCCCTGAGTCTCAGCGTACCATTCCTATCCAGTCCCCATTCCCTATCATGCTTTCCTGTGGCTGTCCCCTTGGGGTTAGGGCTTACCATCCCTACACAAGGCCCCAGCCCCAGTCTCTGCCTCTGGCAGCCCTCATCCTGGATAGAGCTTCTTCTTGGGTCATACAATGATACAGCCTGGGTAGACACAAGCACGCAGAGGGCCAGTCAGAGCAAATGTCCTTCCAGGAGCTTACAGCCACTCACTAATGGAGCAGAGACCAGAACCCAGGTCGGGAGGCACTAGAAGTTCTCGAGAAGTTGCCTGACATTCTTAGGTTTGCAACACTGTCTTCCCATCTGTTCCCCCATCCCACCCCCCACCGAGGCAGACCCTAACCCTACCCCCTCCTCCCGCAGGCCCGTGAGCACCCAGAATTGCTGGTCGGAAGCCTGCAGTGTGCACTGGAGGGTCAGCCTGTGGACCCTGTGCACGGCTACCTGTGGCAACTACGGCTTCCAGTCCCGGCGTGTGGAGTGTGTGCATGCCCGCACCAACAAGGCAGTGCCTGAGCACCTGTGCTCCTGGGGGCCCCGGCCAGCCAACTGGCAGCGTTGCAACATCACCCCGTGTGAAAACAGTATGTTCCAACCCCAAGGAGTCTTCTGCCAGTTCCCCGCAGGGCATCAGGCACAGAGGGCGGCCCCCAGGACGGACCCTGAGCGTAGGGCACTACACCAGTCTCCCCAAGGATTGTGAGCCGGGGCCAGAGTTGGGTATGTTCAGAGGGTTGCATGCAAGCGAGGATGTGTGCAAGGATGTGTCTACAAGCGTCAAGGCCACGAAAGATGGCCAAGTGTGCCCCCCCCGCCCCCTAAGGGCTTGATCTGGGCCCTGAGCGAAGCCAGGTACTATTGGCCACGTGTTGAATGAAATCAGCCCCCAGTTCACCCACAGTAGTGTGGCTGGTACCCAGGGGACGACAACCAATGCCTCCTGGGGGCCAGGCTACTAGATAGAAAGCTCTGTTTGCACTAGAAGAGCACACACACTGCCTCCTGCCCAGCTGGCCGTGTGCCCACCATGGCTCTGCTTCTCACAGAACAAGGACCTGCTGCCCTCCCTCCTTCCCAGCCCATGGGCGCCCAGCAGAACTGTGCAGGAGCCTATGCCCTTGCGATCTACTCTTGTCCTCCCTTCTCCCTCAAGTCCGGATCCTCCTCTGCCCAACACTGGCATTTGTATCCCAGTTGGATATTGTTTTCCCCTCTGGACCCAAAACAAACTGGAGGCCCTTCCCCACAGGAAAGAAGACAAAGTATGAGGCAAAGAATAAAAAGTTTTTCAATGTTGCCATGCAATTTTCCCCTAACCGGGGCCTCTCTGAGCATCAGATGCCCAGTGCTGAGGCAGATGTCCTGTAGGCAACTTGTCCCGTTGCTTATACACTGGTGAGGGATGAACTGTGTTCTCTGTGTGGTGCCAACCCATTTTTGTGTTCAGAGCTCACCACAGTGAGTGCTACTGTTCAACATATTTCAGACTTACGATGTTAGTCACAGAAGCCCACAGCCCAAATCAGCACCAGTACTTAACGACTGTCTAGTTTGTGCCAGTACTGAGCTACATACCACAGTGCTCAGGTAAGACATGGTCAGGGGAAAGAGTAGAGAGGCTTTGATGGACAGTGTAAGAAAATAAGCCTTCATGAAGGAAAAAAAGTTCCATTCCAGGCGATGAGGCCATCCACAGAGGCTCATTTGCACACCACAGCAAAGCGGAACAGAATTTAGTCCTTGTGAGAACCAGCTTGAGGAGAGCCGCTTAAATACCACAGGGCAAGGCAAGCTGGCCCTGGATCAGGTGGTTCCGAGGAGGAGGAGAAGGAAGGAAGCGTGCTATCAGAAAGGAAGTAGTGCAGGCGAGGGTTGGCCCCTGTCATCCAGCCACCACCTGCAGCCTGTTGGCAGGCTGGGAGGCAGGTGGCTGAGTTCCACCAGAGCAAGGCCAACCCAGAGATGCTGGACAGTGGGGGCCCCTCCAGCGTGGGAGGCCAGTGCCCAATGCAGACCCCAGGAAGCACCCAGTGACCACAGCCTTTAGCTCCATTTCACATCTTTTTTTTTTTTTTTTTTTTTTTTCCTGTGCCCTTTCCCAGTGGAGTGCAGAGATACTACCAGGTACTGCGAGAAGGTCAAACAGCTAAAACTCTGCCAACTCAGCCAGTTCAAATCTCGCTGCTGTGGGACTTGCGGCAAAGTGTGAAGACAGGGCCCAGGGAAAAGCTCTACCCTGGCCACACAGAGGACTCACGCCACCACCTTGGACAGAACTTAAGCTCTCTTCGTTTATTTATTTATTTTCCTCTCCCCACCCCTCCCCCCCACACCCTCGTCCAACCTCCTCCCCCACCCCAGACGTGAGGACCTCAGCATGTTCCCTCTCTCTCTCCCTCTCTCGCTCTCTCTCGCTCTCTCTCGGTTCACTGGAGGACAGAATGTGGAGGAAAGACAAGGAAAGGGGTCTAAAGGAGGTTGCAGAGCAGACGCCTTCCCAAACCTGGGTCCCAAAAAGGTCAAGGAAGAGGCAAGCACAGCTCCTGGGTACAGCAGGGAGTCAGAGCCAATAGCAGAGGAGAGATGGGAGGGGAGGCGACAGTCTTCGCAACGTTGGTACAGACTTCAGACGACCAGCTGTGTCTTTCCTGGCAGCACACGGTCAACACAGGAGTGTGCTTCTGCTCTGTGTCCTCCTCTGCCTCAGCCTTGGGAAGAGCAGGCAGGGAGAGGAGGACACCACTGTAAGGCAGAACCCAGGCCAGAACTCAGCTCTTCTGCTGGGGAGCGGTGAGAACTCCAAGCACGGATACGAAGCAGTAAGGAGATAATCCAAACAGGCCTAAAGCATACTTGATGCAGAAAACAATGTGGGGGGAAGGAGACAGAAGCAGAAAGAAACCTGTGCATGGTCCTCAGTGGGGAAGTGCAGGTGGATGCGGAGGAGTGAGCAGGCAGTGAGGAGGCTCAGGGAAGGGGAGCTCTGGATTCTCCTGCCCTCACAGAGGGTGCAGGAGAGTCCCCACTCCCCACATGGTTGCAGTGAGCTTTCTGCCTGTACCCCCAAAGCAAAGCCAGTGAGCCATCAAGATCTACTCACTCAGGCCCCCGCCCCCCCTTGCATCTCTCTCGACATCAAGAGTTCCCTGTCCCAACCCCAGCCCGGAACAATACTGCTGATACGGGCCAGGGGCATTCTGAGTAAGAATAGGCTGGGGGTTTTGCCTATACAGCCTTTGCTGCTCCACACTTAAGAGCCAGGGGTTGGGTTCAATTTGCCAGACGGTCGGGTCATAGTAGCCACTTCCAGAGCCGACCCAGGGTGGGACAGTGGGCTGGTGGTGGTGGTTTCAGAAGCACAGTGAGGGCTGTGTGCCTACTTATCCAGCAGCTTGGGGAAGGGGGATAGGGTGTGGTGGCAAAGCCATAGGATAACTGAAGCTTGCAAGAGGGTCCTCAAAGGCTTTTCAACCTGTTCTCCCCCCCATACACACTGAAATACTATGAACCTTACAGCAATTAATAGCCACCCAGTTTGGGGAATCCAGTAGGCAAGGCAGCGCACACTCTTCCAGTAATGCTGGTCAGCTACAGTAAAATGGCTGCAGCAAAGTCTAGAGGCAAACCTGAAATCCTGGGACTATTTGGCAAATTGTTCTTTCAGCAGAGGGGCTTTGGGCGAGTGGTTTTGGCTACCTCCCCCTTGAGTGGACACTGTTCAATAGCCAGAGCAGCATGGCCACGGCCACTCACCCCTCAGACAGCCTGCCCTTCCTCACATACACACTCGCAAAATGCCACTCAGCCCCGGGCCACCACCAATACCAGGGCTGTGTTTTCCAGCCTGCCTGGAAGTCCAAGACGGGGAAGACAGTATTAAGCTGTGTCCCCCTCCACAGATGAGCTACGGACAATTAGGGTGGGTCTCTTTCTTCCTCACCACCATGGGCTCGAAGAAATCATGTTATTAAAAATCATTGTAATGTTTATTTAAAATAAAAGAGAATGTTTTCTATGTCTGTATATCTTTTGTGAATATTTATTAGGATTTCTTGTATAAAAAAAGTGCAATATTAATAATTGTACATTGTCATCCGGACAACAAAGTATTTGGGGAATTTTTTATTAACTTCCTGCAGTTTGTGTTCCTGTAAACTCTGGTAATTATTGTATTGTTCCTGTTTCTAATAGAACCTGATGTTTAACTCTGGATCCATTCACTGTGTACAGAATACATTGTAAAGCTAACATGGGATGACAGGGCAAGAAGAGGGGGTGCATTTGTGACACAATAGTTATGCATGGAATGAGGAATACAGATTCCATATGGCTACTCAGGTGGTTGGCTATTTCTAGTTCCATAGCTGTTGAGAACCAGTGGCCAATATTTACATTTTCTAAAGAGCAGGTGTCCTCCAGCCCTGCCTCATGTCAGGTTGGAGCAGTTGGAGGGGGGCTTCAGAGCGAGCTCGGAGGACCTAGGTTTGGGGTGGGAAGCAGTGTGCTCCTTGCATGAGATGAATGTACATTTACTGTTTGTTCTGTGAATTGTGACTCAGCAGCAACACAAGATGATTAGAGCTGCTGAATAATGTGGAAGGAGGCACTTTCCTCCTCTAAAACACAAAACTGTATTTATATTTTTTTTGTACAGATAATACAGCTTATTTATTTAAATCTTGTCGTCCGAGTCTCTGTTAAGCTCAGCCTTCCTGTCTCGCTCTGAACAGGGGTTGAGGGTGGTTCGCAGCCACTTATGTGTGTTTGGCCGCTGAAGAAGAAGTGCAGTTTTCAGCTCTGCATGGGAAGCTGGAGGCCCATGCCTGAAGGGCCAGCTCTGTAAGTGAACCCAAAGGAGCTATGTTTGTGGATGTGTACATGTGCAGGCTTAGGACTGCCCTTGACAATCATCTCATTTACGGCCCTGAGTAGTGGGAAGATGGAAGCCACATCACTTTCAGAAAGAAAGATACATAGACATCTCGGTGGGGGGAGGGGGGGCATGGTTGGTACAGACTTGGGTGCAGGAGGAATCTCCAGGTCAGGCTCCCACCAACAGGGGCATGCAGGGTATAAAGTAGCTGTGTGCTGAAATTCTGCATGGACACCATTAATTAGTAGGAACTAACATTTACAGATGGTTACTACATTTCATCCTCACATGAGCCCTATGATTATCTCTATCTGTATATGGGTAGACAGAGGCCCAGAAAGCCCAAGGTCAACCACCTAGTGGAACAGGGATCAAACTCCTATAAGTCTGGCTTTTTAACCAGAGCCTTTTCCTTAGCTGCTGTGCCATCTCCAGCTCCTCTGTGCAAGAGTTGACTATGCATGGCCGTCATCATGGGTGCCATCCTTCCCTACTGCTTAGAGGCTGGTAGATGACAGTGGGACATTTTTCTGGAGTTGTCACTTTCTCATCCCCTAAAATCAATTCTTCTGGCATCCTGTGGCCCCTGGATCCCCATTTTTTACGCATTTTAAGAGAAATAAAGCTACTGTGGGAAGTGCAAAGAAAAGTGTATTGTGGAGTTCTTCATCAACTGTTTCCAGGGGAAGGGCAGCAAGTCCCCAGGCCCAGAGGATGCCCACACAAAGACCTTTTTGGGAGACACTTAAAAAGACCCCCAGCCTAAAAGCCCAACTCCAGTCTGTTTTCCAACAACTCACCCAGCACATCAGTCTATTATGCAGTATAAAAATAAATTAGAAAGCTCTTACTGAAATTCCAATGATTTTCTAAAAAGTTTTAGGTTTTGCTTTAAAGGAATAGTCAATGCTTGAACTAGAAATACTCACATACTATCAATCAAATAATATCCTACAGAGACCCCAGCAGAGGATGGGAGGGTGGGGATGGGTCAGGAATGCCAGAACAAGATCCCAGGAAGTTTCAAATAGTAGGACAGGCTCAAATAGAACATATGGAAAATTTTCCAGCCAAAATCACCGAGCTCAGCAGAGAGAAAAAGAGAGAGTCCTATAAGAACACTACCAACCACAGTATAAAAGTTTGGAATCTTAACCACAGGCAGGTCCTGGGGTGGGAACTCCTCATACCAGAGCCCCCTGCTTGGCCTTAGAAATTTCCAGGACTTTGACAGTATGAGCACAGAAAATCTGGGACCCATCCAAACCAGAATGATCAGTAATCACACTAAAGCTCATTCATGCCTAGTTCCTCACCTTTGAAAAAAGGATACCTCATAAGCTAGGATTTTTATAAGAGAAAACTAGCCATTCATTCACACTGAGGAAATCTATGATCTCCTGGCATGTCACTGAAGCCTTCACTGAATGTTAACTGCTATTATCATCCGAGCTACCTTGAAGACAGGGAGATGAGGGGGCAGAGCATTGGCTCTATTCCATATTCCCATTGTCATCTGTGAAACACTGGTTTCTACCTTTGAGTGAGAAGGACATCAGTTATTCCTTCAAAGTTCAATACAACACAACAGTGTCAATAAGAGAGGCGTTAGTGAACCCAAATCTGTATTTTAGAAGATAACATAACAGCACATGTAACCAACTCACCAAATATTGGCATACCTTCAGAAATACTTCCCAGGACAGATGTTATCTTGTAATCCCAATGAACAGTCTAGCGTGAATTCAAAATACCCCACATATATATATGCCATTTCCTTTGATTTACTAAAAACAATAATAATAATAAGGACACTCATTCAAGAGCAAACATACATGTAAGGTAAAAGCTAAAATTAAGGATATCTCACTTACAAAGTGGTAGATTTTCTCATAAACAGCATGCTATTATCCCCTCACTTCATCCTGCAAGTAAATCCAAAGAAAATAATCCAATTTTATTAACGGTTTTAAGCTACAATGGGACAATTTAGGGCTCAATAATCCATCTGTGGGCCTCCGCAAAAGAGGCAAATTCATCCACAAAGGATAAGGGAATTATCAGGTGAACAGAAGGATGAAGCTCTTGGAAATAACCCAGTGAAAAATGACCTATTGGGTGAATTACCCAAGGAAGGATAAATTAGGAAACAAAATTAAGTGACATCCCTTTGTTTTGTCTCTTTCAGTCCCTCATTTTGTTCATTGAATGAGCCATGCTTTAAAAAGACTTCAGGATTCAGACTCAGAATACACTGTGAGATAAATCAGGGAAGGTTATCTATGCATGTCACACATGGCCAAGGAGGAAAATATTGGTGTGGATACAAGCCTTAATCAGTAAAGAATTGATGACTCAATGAATTCTACCAATCCTGTAAGATTAAGATTAACCTGAAATTATCATCTGTCCCACCCAGCCATGCAGTCCACTTAGAGATGCTTTTACAGGTTAAATGCGTATGAGCCAATCAGAGACTGTTATCTTTGG